TGGCCTTATCTACAAATTAACACAAGATACAAAAAAGATCAATATGACATATTTATTTATTTATTTATTTATTTATTTATTTATTTATTTATTTATTATATTTCAATACCGCCTTTCTCCCTTAGGACTCGAGGTGTACAGTCAAGAATAATATAGATACACAAACATCATAAAATTGCTAATTAAAATTATTATTATAACATAGTTTGGCCCAATTAAATAGAACCTAAAATTAGATAACATTTTAAAAACATTCACTTGTTCATATGTTTAGCCCCGCCTGCTGGCACATCAAGGTCTTGAGGGCACAGCAGAAAGCATGGAGATCAGGGATATTTCGTGTCTCAGGGGGCAGTTCATTCCAAAGGAATATATGAGAAACAATTGGAATTAGACAAAATAATATTAGGAATGGGAGGAAAAATGATTACTAAAATATATAACATACTTTTAAGATATAAAATGGAGGAAGAGACAGTAAAGGAGACAATGATAAATTGGGCCAGATATTTTGGCTACAATATTGAGTTAGATCATTGGGACAAATTGTGGGAAAGAAATTATAAGCTTACTATGGCAGTTGCCTATAAAGAGAATCTATATAAGATGTTCTACCGATGGCATTTACCCCCAGCAAGATTGGCCAAAATGTTCCCAAATTTATCCCCTGAGCTTTGGAGATGTAGACATAAATCTGGAACATTCTATTACGTGTCCCAACGCCAGGAAATATTGGCTTAAAATTAAAGAATGGCTGGAAAGAATCACGAAACATAGGATAGAATTGAAACCAGAACTATACTAGACCCAAAAATAGACAAGAATTATCAATATATAATATTACATATACTAACTGCTGCTAGGATCGCTTTCACACAAAACTGGAAACAGAAAACTACCCCACCAGATGAAATGGTAATTAGGAAGATACTTGAATATGCTGAAATGGACAGGATGACCATGGAGTTAAAAAGAAAGAAAAGAGTCGGAGTATTATAAAATTTGGAGTAGACTGTACAAGTGGCTAGAGAATAGAAGCCCAAATAAGAAATAAATGTTCAAAACCATTGACTATAATAGAAAGATAACTATATACAAATATAATCAGAATATATTATATTATATTATTATTACAATATAATTATACTATTACTAGAATTGTAAAAACATATGAGAAGGCAAATATTGAATAGTGAATTACAAAAGCAGAACATACATGCTGATATGGAAAGCTGTAAAATTATACTATATTGTTGTGTTGTTTGTGTATTTGTATTTTTTCTTTGTATTTTTTCTTTTTTTCCCCTTTTTCTTTTTTTTTTACTTGTGATTTTTAAGCTTGGAAAATGTTCAGTAAAAACTATTTAGAAAAAAAATTAGTAAATAGGTTCCCCCCCCCCCAGTTTTGTTTCTCAGCTCCTCTTAGATTAAAAGTGCTGAGAACTGTTAAGGTCTTTTCTTCCTGACCTAAGATTCTGATGGTTTTGTGAATGGCAGCTGGTATGAGATATAATCTGACTCCTCATTTATCCTCCCCTTCTGCTCTTTTCATGCCTTGACTGGCATATTTTGAACAATAGACCGTTTTGCAGACAAAGTTCTGGTGTCCTAAGTGCTTTCTCTTAGTAGATGTGACTTAACATTTATTTTCATTCTAAGCTCTTCAGTCATCATGTCTTTAAATTAAAATTGTGTTCTTAATCTGCTTACTTAGAAGTAAGAACCAGTGAATGTAATAGACCTTCTGAATTGACATCTATAGGATTGTGCTGTCAGTTTAATTTAGTTATGCCATAGATTTTTGTGAGCTGATTGCCATGGTGGAGATTTGCATATATATTAACTTTGCCATCACTTGATGATTTGAATGTACCTATGACGATTTGATGTGTTTGCGCAAAAAGGTAATAGCCAGTAAAATTGACTGGATATGGGAAAAGATACATACAAACACACGCACACACAGGCACACACACACACGTGTGTGTGTGTGTGTGTGTGTGTTTTCCCATATCCAGTCAATTTTACTGGCTATTATCTTTTTGCACAAACACATCAAATGTGTTTTGATGTGATATATATATATATATGAGTAATGAAAGAATTGGTGTATTAAACTATGATATTTACGAGTCATCATTTTAAAATGTAAAACTAAAGCAAGACCTTTTTCAGGCAGAGACATTTCTGTTGGGTAAACAATACTGAATGAGTCAATTTTGATAGACATTATGAATATATATGACAGTTCCAGTATTATTCTCCGGAAAGAGAAAAACATATCTGAGAAATACTTGACAGGTGATAGCAAACGTTTTGCTGGTGTGCAGCCAGAAGATAGTTCTATTTGAAAATTTCATTCACACTATTGCTGAAGAACTATTATCAGTCCTACGTATACTTTTGCATTCAGTGTAACTTTTTGACGGAAGCATACATAGCTTTTAAACACTATTGTCATTTCAAAGAAGTATATGGAAGATTGTTTAGTTGAAATTATTAGTATGACTAATTCTCATGTTCAGACTTAATTCCCTCTTAAGTCATTTATTGTAGATTTCTGGATCTTTTTTATGCACTATTTTTTTCACTGTCCTGTAAATATGTCTTCCATACCGATTTAGCTTGGACATCTAGGTTGTGTAATGGTTATGCTAATTTCTTAATGTTGGTTCTATTTTTAATTTTTTTTATTATTGTGCCTCAGCTTCTGAATGTGTGTGTTGTTTTTATAGTTGTGTGTTTTAATTATTTTCTTTACTGTGGTTAGCTGTCCAGAGTCATGAATTTGAGATAGGTGGATGTATAAAGTAAATGAAAGGAAGGAAGGAAGGAAGGAAGGAAGGAAGGAAGGAAAGAAAGAAAGAAAGAAAGAAAGAAAGAAAGAAAGAAAGAAAGAAAGAAAGAAAGAAAGAAAGAAAGAAAAAATCTTACAGTGAGGTGGTTATTATTGTATAGTAGCTAGTCATATTTCCTGAAGTATTTCCTGATATATTTCCACATATCCCACATACAGACCTACAAACACATAATTGTATATTAAATGCCACAGAAAGTATACTATTATCTTTGTACAGTTGTAGTGATAGTGACCACTACAAGAAGCTAAAGAGCTAAAGCTAAAGCCAATGCATTTTTCTTGCACTTGCCTCCTAATTGGAAAATAATTGTTTTGTTGATGGCCTGTCTTAGTAGATTCAGCTTAAGCATGATTCCATTATTTTGATAACTTAGCTGGCCATTAATATTGTTATGAGGGACACATATTTAAAATAATATATGGCTGTTTTATTCTCTATGAACAAAGAGCTGCTCTGAAGCCTCTACCTGGAGTGTTGCTTAAGTAACAGTCCCGGTGGATTTGTCTTTTGTGCATGCATATACATGCTCAGAATACCGGGAAGGATTCCTCCAAGCAGCCAGGCTGAGTCTTCAAAAGACTGTTCACTTGCAGCTTATCTCTCCAAATATTTTTCACAACACTTCTTTATTATTGTTGATTTCCTTCAGCCAACTGAACAAACTGCAGGTGATTATAAAATGAATATTTCTTTTACTATGGGAGAAGGGATGAGACTCACATCTCAGAAGATAAGATAATTACTAGCATAAAGATAACATCTAAAGAATGGTTACAGAAATACAATCCTTTTTGAAAAATATTTTTATGTGCTTATGGAATTGTGAGGGTCATACAATAGCAATGAAGAGTTGATATTAAAATTAATGTCATCCAGGCATGAAATGCTCCCGTTCAGACTGGATCACCCGATCCAGTAACAATGGCGGTGGATGGTTTGGAGAACCGGTAACAAAAATCCCTGCCCACCCCCCATGCCCAGCTGAGCCACGCGATCATCAGAGGCTTTTAATTTTTTTTAAAAGCATTTTTCTACAATCTCTTTGGCTGAAAAAATGCTTTTAAAAGTTACAAAAAAAGCCTCTGATGATCACGTGGCTCAGCTGGGATCGTCAGAGGCTTTTAAAAGCATTTTTTCTACAACCTCTTTGGCCGAAGAGGTTGTAGAAAAAATGCTTTTAAAAGCCTCTGACGATCCCAGCTGAGTTGCCTGATCGTAGAGCCTTTTAAAAGCATTTTTTTTACAACCTCTTTGGCCGAAGAGGTTGTAGAAAAAATGGTTTTAAAAGTTAAAAAAATAATTTGGCCACGCCTACCCAGTCACATTACCCACCACCACCAAGCCACGCCCACAGAACTGGTAGTAACAAATTTTACATTTCACCACTGATGTCATTTCAGGTTGGATATAAGCAGAGGTGGGTTTCAGCAGGTTCTGACCAGTTCTGGAGAATTGGTAGTGGAAATTTTGAGTAGTTTGGAGAGTAAAAATTCTGACTGGCCCCACCTCCATCTATTCTCTGCCTCCCAAGTCCCAGAGGAAATGGGGATTTTGCAGTAACTTTCCCCTGGAGAAAGGGGAGGGAATGGAGATTTTATAGTATCCTTCCTCTGCCATGCCCACCAAGCCACGCCCACCAAACCATGCCACACCCACCAAGCCACACTCACAGAACTGGTAGTAAAAAATTTTGAAACCCACCACTGAATATAAGCTAATAGAAAATGCTGAAAAATTTCATATTCTACTTTTGAAAATTGCATAAGGTCTTCAAGTACAAATCATCACAACAATTGTATGAAATAACCAGAATTAATAATCTATATTATATGGAAACAGGTTTTTGATGAAAGAAAAACATATTGTTTACCCAGAGTCAAGTAACTGGATATAAATTTATTAAATAAAATAAATTAATTTAATTCAACATTTCAAATTCAAAGGCTATCTTTTGGAATCCAGACTTTTGCAGTCTGGTAGTTCTAAAATAATAGAATTCCAGTTTCAGACAAAAATGTGAAAGTTTTGAATGTCTTCATTAAGAGCACATATCATATGTTTTCTCTATACCCGATACTGAGGTGTGTTTAAAAGACGTTATATTTAAAATGATACCTCTTTTGTTTCCTTCTTTCTTAGCCTGTGGACGTGGATTCTATAAGTCATCTTCACAAGATTTGCAGTGTTCCCGCTGCCCAATGCACAGTTTTTCAGACAGGGAAGGATCTTCGCGATGTGATTGTGAAGACAGCTATTATAGAGCACCTACTGATCCACCATATGTTGCATGCACAAGTGAGTTATTCTTGAGTTGCTTCCTATTGCTTAGCCAATCACAGTCATTGATTTCCTCTTCTCCCATTTAGTTCTGTATAGGACACAAAGCAGCAGTAGAAGCATTTTCAAATGCATTTTCAAAATAGCAAAAGAAAGAAATAGCAAAAGAGAAAATTAAAAAGAAACAATGTAGAATCCAATAAATTTAACGGCTGTTTTTTTCAGCATCACCTGAAGCAGACGCAGAATAAACACATAACTGAAAGGAGACTATGATTCTTATAGATATTTTTAGCATGATATATCTAAGGTGGCACAGCATCAAATTAAAAATTTCTGAGAAGAAAAATAAGCCATTGGTGGCTCAATTAATGAATATTTGCAGACCTCTCAAAGACGAAGCCGTACCCCATGTTTTTGTAAATCACATTACAGAAGATGAAAAAAAAAACTTAAATTTATTCCAACTTAAGCATTTCGAAAGGAGCAAAAATTCATTTTGAGGAATTCTCTGTGAGTCAGCTCCAGAGGTACATTAACTTACTCTTTAATTTCAGACAAGAAAAGCTGCAAAAAGGTCTGCAGTAAATACATAGAAAGTGCCTTTGTTTCCTTAGTGGAAAATAAATATGGCTTCTTGTCAATTGAATTCAAGTAGGAGTTTTTAGTAGTGTGTGGTAGATAAAATGAAAAGTTTAAAGCCTGGCGAGCTTTAGCTTGGGTAATTAAAACATGAGCTAAATTTTCCCTGCTGATTTTTCTTTCAATCTCTATCCCCCCCCATCCCTCTTTTGTGTTTGTATTTAACAAAGGACCGCCATCTGCACCACAGAACCTTATTTTCAATATTAACCAAACTACTGTGAGTTTGGAGTGGAGCCCTCCTGCTGATAATGGAGGAAGAAATGACGTGACCTACAGGGTATTATGCAAGAGGTGCAGCTGGGAACAGGGTGAATGTGTTCCCTGTGGGAGCAATGTTGGATATATGCCCCAGCAAACTGGATTAGCAGACAACTATGTCACCGTCATGGACCTGTTAGCTCATGCTAACTATACTTTTGAAGTTGAAGCTTTAAATGGTGTCTCTGACTTAAGCCGTTCCCAGAGGCTTTTTGCAGCTGTTACCGTTACCACTGGTCAAGCAGGTAAGTCATCATATTTTAGAACACGTAGAACAAAGAGAACTATATTGTTAACAACTGAAAGGAGGCTTAACTCACCGCACACAAATGCATCCATCTCTACATCGCCAGTAGGACGTTATTGGTGTGTTACTGATTGCATAGGTAGCTTTATGTCAGAGTATTTGGGTTTCTGATGGCCTGAAGTTTTCAAATTCTGAATGGTTGCCAGCCTGAATTTTGATGCAGATAGACTCGCTTACTAGTTAGGCTAGCTTACTAGTTAGCAAAAAGACAACAACTAGGCAAGCCTAAGGCATCAGCATTTTGGTCAATGAGTTTAAATCAAATCAAATAAATAAAACATCTCTTTCTTTCTGATGTGTGGAATAAGATAAAACTGGTAGCTTTATATATAATAGCTGAATATTTTGCAGCTCCATTAATTGAAATAGATAAGTTATAGGTTTGCTTAATTTTGCTTCAGTGGGGCTTTGAGGTGCTTAATGTTGGTTGAATTGTCCCTTGGGAGTTTAAATTATTTTTGTATATGTTCTTAATTTATTAAGGAATGTCTAAAACAGAGAGACAGCATGATTTACTAATGGTTTCACTGTTCAATGAAGAAACCATGTGCCTTTTTTATAGTACCGTCATCTAGCATTTTCAGAGTTATATTTAATTTTGAAACAATTTGAAGCCTTCAGTAAATACCTGATTTACTTAGTGCATTCAGTATTCATAGTCTTCTTCCAAGATTATGCTTCCAGTTTATTTTGTAGCTTCAGTTATTTTATGATGAAATTCAGTAAGACTACAACAATTATTCTTTGTGGCTTATATTTATGATAATATGACAGGTGAAATGTCAGGCAAAATCACATCAAACTAGAATGTCCCCAAAGGGGAAAATGTGTTTTAGTGATTTTGCATATTGAAATAGAAACTTCCTATTCAGGTATGTGAAATAATAAATTGCTTGTTGATAAAATGGTGATCTGAGAATGCTGTGCTATTCATACCTTTTTATTGTTCGTGCAGAAGAGATTGGTAACTGTAGTTGCTTTCTGAGTTTTCAGTAAAATTCCTATGTGGAGTATTTTTTTTTTTCAATGTTCAGATGAATAACTTTGGACTAGAGAGCTATTTTGGGAATATTGGATATTAGGTTATGCTTACAGTAGGCAAACTATATTCAGAGAATAAGATGGGATATGCATAAGACATTAGATGAATTCTTTTTCTTTTGTTTCATTGTTTCTTTTTGTTTTCCCATCAATCCTCAACCAGACATTTATGCAACCACATCTCTCCAAATGTTACTAGCAAGGAACATCAGAAATGCAATTCCCATATAATCCACTCTTTCAATGTGCCTGTTTTCACATTGTGTGGTAATTCTTGGAATAATTTTTAATGCAGAGGCTTATTTTATTAAGCAAAAATATTCATGCATAGGACCTGTCAGTAAATAGTTAATAATTAACTAACAGTATGTGTCAGTTAGTCACATTTATTTGCTTGGGATAGCTTCTCCTTGCTCCAGTGTAAGAAATAATCAGAATAAATAAGAAGGAAAATATACATTATCAGGCTAAATTAAATATTGAATTAAGGGCTTTTTCCAGCTGTTAGAGTTAGAGTACAGTATAAGTGATGTAATTTTTTGCCAGTTCATATCATGTTTTATTGCGTCAGTAACTTGATTTTCCTTCAAGAAAATGCATTATGAAAGCTGCCCTTAGACAGAACACAGAACATAGAATTGGGAATGGAAGGGACCTTGGAGGCTTCTAGTCCAACCCTCTGCTTAAGCAAGGAGACCTTATGCCGTCCCAGTCAAATGGTTGTCCATTCTATTTTTGAAAACCTCTAGTGACAGCATAAAGCCAATAGGGGAATAGCATAAAGTTTGGGTAGAGAGACTTGCTTTTACTTATAAGAATGTTTAAGAATGACTCAAGAGTATTTTATTCATTCACTGCAGACAAAATAAAGATAAGATCATGAGAACACAGAAATAATAGATGTTGGGAGAAATAATGTGATCTTCAACTATTATCCTTTTTAATACTGTTGCTTAAACTCTGTTTTTTGGGAAATGGGAATAGCAACACTGTGCAACATTGTGATTGCGAATAAGAAGATCTAACTTTCTTCATTAGAGAGTTTCACAATTTGGATTCTATCACACAAAAGATCATGAATGTTTTGTTTTAAGATTGGCTAGGAAACTTTTATGGGATTTGAAAACTACATATCTTAAAGCTGCCAAATTTGAGAAGCAATGTGTTAGCTCTTGATCAGATTGGTTGTTCTTCTCTGCAGTTTAGCTTTGTCCTCATCAGTTGTCTTCAGGCTCCCAAAGCTACTTATGCCTACTAGGGGGTATCTCGGTAGAGTTTCTGAAGCATATATTCCTCTGTTATTCCATTTACATGATTCTTAGGTAACTCTCAACTACTCTAACTACCCCATCCAGAAGAAATTTCTGGGCACCACTTCCATTTCTCCTGTTGGACAAGAACTAAATTATACTCTCTCAGTTTGCCCATTCTTTGTCTCTGTTTGTTCTTGCCACCTTAAATTTGTAGCTGAGGATTTTGACTTTTATCTGTGCACTTGTATTATATGTTATTCTACTTCACTATTATGGAACTCCTTGTCTTGTGTTCTAACATTTTTATTCCTTGCTACGTAACTTATATTTAATTAATGTGGATTGTAATATAGATTGATGGATCTATCCATTTTCATTTTGTAGGATTTATTTTCTGGACCTATGCCTATAATAAATTATTTGATTTGATTTGATATCAGCAGCTGTGGAAAATTCAGGAGAATAAATCAAAGTTTGCATAAATCACTGTATTCATACAGCTTCACCCAGACATAGAGTTGCGTAGGTCTTTGTGTATAACTTTGTCCTGAAGATATAGGTATTTTAATTGAAAGGAATATGAATAGAGATAGATTGGAGCTATGATTTTGAACAGTTTTGCATAACACAACCCTTTCGGTCACTTATATCCTCCTAGATAGGAAAACAGTCTGACAAAAAATATTAAATTAATTTCAATCAGTCTAGTATGAATTTACTTTATTTTTTAAAAAAATAAATTTTCCCTATGATTTACAAGGTAAGATTTGTTTTAAAATATTTCTTAAAACAACCTTTTACTGGGCTCACGGAAATTAATTAATTATGTTATTTAGGCCCAAACCTAACAGTGCAGACAGTCAGGACCATACTGTCTGTATTAACTGCAGCATTTAAAACTTCATTTGTGGATTTACCATTTCCCCTCTGGCTGGTTATGAAAAGGAAAAAGAAAAATGAACTACAATGTGCAGAAGTATAAAACAACAAAACAGCCAACCAAATCAAAGGAAGCCATTAATATAGCACATTGGGGGAAAACGATGTTATCTGATGATAACTTGCTGAATTTAAATATTGTATTTTGTCTCTAGTTTTGTCATGTTGATTGCCAGGTTTTCCGAATTCCTGTTGATGTTAATTTTCAATATATAAAGATCCTGAATCTTAGCATCAACAGGAACTAAGACCTTTCAGACAGTAAGCATTGTAAACTATGTTCAAAACAAAACAAAAAAATCCTCTTTATACATGAACCATTCTCTGTTCTGCGTATGGAACAAGTAATGCAAGAAATCTTTTGTACATCCTTAGAATCAATCATGGACAAAGAACACTTTTTACTCTTTGTATATCAGTTTAACTTTGCTTATACTAAACTCTGTATGTTATGGTAATCCCCCTTCTTTCTATTTTACATCTTGTACTATATTTTTATTGCTTTAACCACCTCAGTAATTTAAACAGCAAAATGATCCCTGATTCTGGATCACGTAAGAACAAGTTTAAATGAACTCTCCCAATATATAGATACAGAGGTGGGCTTCAAAAATTTTAGCAAGGGGTTCTCTGCCTGGTTGCTGGATGGGCATGGTGGGCGTGGCCTAGACATCCTCCTGCACCATGGTGTGTGGGGGGGGTGTTCTTGCCCTCCCCAGGCTCCAGAAGCTTTCCTCGAGCCTCCGGGAGGCCGGAAACGGGCTCATTTCTGGCCTTCCTGAACTTCCAATAGGTTCATTTTTCATCCTCCCCAAGTCTCCATGCGCGCCCTGCACTTACCTGCATACAAAATAGGCCGTGTGGGGACTCCTGGGAGGGGCAATGTGGGGTGGGCGGGGCCATCCAGGAGTGGGATTGGGGGTTTTCCAAACTGCACAGAATCTTAGTTAGAGGTTCTCCCAAAACCCTCTGAACCCCCAGCAGCCCACCCCTGAATATATCATTAGCTGGGTCACTATATACATCTATTAGTGGCAAATTTCTCATTTATTCCTTTGTTTTAACCAGTTAATAGGTCACATGAGGACCCCTTCTTTCATTCTGTAGCTTATGACTTTGCTCAGGACTTTGATGGCTTTGCAAAAGTTGTCAATCACTCTGTCCACCAGTCTTTATTTTGAAACTTGTTGAGATTCTCAAAAATTCTGAAAGGTTAGTGAAATTGAAACTTTTAGAAGCTTCATTTATTCTTTTTCTAGGACTCATGTCTTTACATGTATTTTTAATTAAGCATCTTTAGTGACCAAAGATGCCTTTTAACTATGATGTTACTCAAGTTGGACATCTTGATGTACTAACCACAGTTAAGAACACTAGGCTTCCCATTGTATGTCCAAACCATTCTCTAGAGCTGTTTGTTTATATTTCGTTCATGTTTGCTCATGCTTTCTAATCTTCAATACTTTACAGGACAAGTAGACAATCTAATAGGAGAAGTAGTAAATACTATCTTATATAAACCTGTTTTACTATAGGTAGTCCTTGACGTACAAACACAATTGAGCCCAAAATTTATGTTGCTAAGTGAAACATTTGTTAAGTGAATTTTGCTCCATTTTACGACCTTTCTGGTCACATGTGTTAAGTGAATTACTGCAGTTGTTAAGTTAGTAACATGGTTGTTAAGTGAATCTGGCTTCTCTAC